TTAAAAACTTCTGGGGGCGCCTGGGTGGTGCAGTCGGTTAAGCGTCCGACTTCAGCCAGGTCACGATCTCGCGGTCCGTGAGTTCGAGCCCCGCGTCAGGCTCTGGGCTGATGGCTCAGAGCCTGGAGCCTGTTTCCGATTCTGTGTCTCCCTCTCTCTCTGCCCCTCCCCCGTTCATGCTCTGTCTCTCTCTGTCCCAAAAATAAATAAACGTTGAAAGATTAAAAACTTCTGTTCTTCAAAAGCCACTTGAAGAGAATGCAAAGACAAGACAAAGCCTTGGATAAAATATTAGCAATGATAAAGGTCTTATATTCAGAAAATAAAGAATTAGAACTGGAATCAGAACTAGAATATACAGTTTATTAACATCAGTCACATGGAAACAGACAGGGAGCAGAGGATGGGGGAGCAGGGAAATAAGGAAGACAGGGAGAGGAAGGGGGCCTTTACTGCAACCTGATTCACGGAGCGCATGCATGCATGTGCAAGTATCTGTATACACATGCAGGTTATCTGTGTGCAAGTATCTGCATGCACGTGTGGGTATCTATTTGCGTGTGAGTATCTGTAGGGTGTACATGCAGGTATCTGTGTGCATGTGCGAGTATTTGTGTGCATGTGCAAGTATCTGCACGCATGTGCAAGTATCTGTGTGCATATGCAAGTATGTGTGCAAGTATCTGCATGTGAATATCTGTGTGCATGTGCAGATATCTGCGTGCAGGTGCCTGCATGTGCATGTCACTATCCACATGCACGTGCAAGTATCTGCATGTGCGTGTGACTATCTGCATGCATGTGCGAGTACTTGCATACACATATCTGTGTGCACCTGCAAGTATCTTCATGCTGGTATGTGAGTGCACGTGCAAGTATCTGTGTGCACATGTGGGTATCTGCATGTGTGTACAAGTATTTGTGCGTGAGTATCTGCACAAGCAGGTATCTGTGTGTGTGTGCAAACATCTGTGAGTATCCGCATGTATGTGCATGTATCTGCATGCGTAGGCAAGTATCTGTATGTACATATGTGTATCTACATGCGTGTGCAAGTATCTGTGTGCAGGCACCTGCATGCACATGTGACGATCTGTGTGCGTGTATCTGCATGTGTGTGCAAGTATCTGCATACAGGTGCCTGTGCGTGCGTGAGTATCTGTGTGTGTGTATTTGTGAGTGCATGTGTGTGCAAGTGTGTGCACTCAGGGCTGAAGGCAATGGTGCTCAGTGAGATGCTGACAATGGTTGTCTCAGGATCCAGAATCCAAGTGATTTTACTTTTTCCTTAAACCTGATTATTATATTGCATATCACATGTATTGTTTATACCATCAGAAAATATTAACAGTGTGACAAAGTTTTTTAAATATACATTAAATTAGTAAGAAATTTATCAAAAATTTCTCAAGTCACTTCATCACACTCCCATGTTAACATAATATTTTTTTATAATTTTTTTTAATGTTTATTTATTTTTGAGACAGAGAGAGACAGAGCATGAACAGGGGAGAGGCAGAGACAGAGGGAGATACAGAACCCGAGGCAAGCTCCAGGCTCTGAGCGGTCAGCACAGAGCCCGATGTGGGGCTCGAACTCACAAACCGTGAGATCACGGCCTGAGCTGAAGTCAGACGCTTAACTGACTGAGCCACCAGGTGCCCCAACATAATATTTAAAATCTTAATATTTTTCTTAGATATTCTTAAAACGGGGGCCATTTCTTTATCTCTGTTGAAAGTTTTTCTTTATTAAAAAATAAAAAAATAAAAAGGCTTACCAAAAGAGCTTAAATGGAAAGGAAATATACGATCACACAATGGGTGTAAACAGGTGAAGCAAAGTACCCAAAATTTACTGACATGTAACCTACAACTGAAAACATTAATTTTTTCAATGCGTGATCTGATAATTCAAATAAAATATCATAGACAAATTTAAATATTCATAAAAATACTGACAGAGTGGCAGAAATCTAGTTAGAAGAAAATCTCCAAAATCAGAAAAAGAAAAAAAAAAAATTAAAAACACCTACAGTAAAAGCCGCTCCCTAATGTACAAAAATTACTAATACCGACCAGCCCCAAGCTCGAGGTAGAAAAATGGACAAAAACGTTTAAAGAAATTATACTAATCAGGGCGGGGGGGGAGAGGGGAGGACATTTCTCCAGAGATTTTAGAGCACCTATCTTGCAGGTTACATTAAGAGATACTGCGGCTGGGGGCGCCTGGGTGGCTCAGTCTGTCGGGCGTCCGACTTCGGCTCAGGTCATGATCTCATGGTCTGTGAGATCCTGCTTCGGATCTGTGTCTCCCTCTCTCCCTCTCTCTCTCTCTCTCTCTCTCTCTCTCTCTGTCAAAAATAAACATTAAAGGGGCGCCTGGGTGGCGCAGTCGGTTAAGCGTCCGACTTCAGCCAGGTCACGATCTCGCGGTCCGTGAGTTCGAGCCCCACGTCGGGCTCTGGGCTGATGGCTCAGAGCCTGGAGCCTGTTTCCGATTCTGTGTCTCCCTCTCTCTCTGCCCCTCCCCCGTTCATGCTCTGTCTCTCTCTGTCCCAAAAATAAATAAAAACGTTGAAAAAAAAAATTAAAAAATAAAAAAAAAAATAAACATTAAAAAAAAGATTTAAAGAGATACTGTGGTTGTGTGAAGGTTAATTTTTCTCTTGAAAAACATCATGATGTGGTGAATCATCATTCAAGTGAAAATAATTTCTTCAGCAGAGCAAAGAACATTTACAGCAAAGAACAAAGGACTGAAAGCCGGTCCACTCGTTGACGCCTGCCCCCTCTGGTCCCTACCTGACCGGAAGCGCTCGTCCCGTGAGTTGGTAGGCCGTAGCTTCTGCTGTTTGGGCGCTACAGCTGTGGTTTGTGAGGGACCTGGGATCCTATTCTCAGCTTGTAGGGATGGATCTACTCCTGCAAAACAATTTTGTAGGAATATCTTGTGTAAACAATTTGCTTCTCTGGTGATGGAAAAATCCATTTAAAACAGCACGTATTTGTCCTATGTTACTACATAGCATGCACCTTACCAAAAATAACAATCTGAGCACATGCACCCTGTGGTGGCCCTTGAAGTCCAGAAGCCCTGTATCTGGAGGTCAGGGACAGAACCATGAATGTCCACTTCTGGCTCTCTCTCCCAAAAGTGCCCAGCCTTCCCTGCCTCACTGTCCACCATCCCCAAAAAGGGTGACCATCACACATCATCCCCGAGACCATCAGCACAACACATGCAGCCACTTAGGGCAGATTCTCTTGGGAAGGTCCTTTAAAAGAATGCTTCTGCATCATAAACATTTCCTGAATCTGCAAAGGCCTGTGTGTCACTTTTCCTGGCACTATCCATGATGTCAACCAACTCAGTAAGAAACATCCCACTAAGCAGTCACTGGGGCATAACCAGTCGCCCTTGGACACAGGCAGAAACGTGGGACAGTGGAGAAGTGAGGGGTGCACGTAATAGTGAGTGTCAGGGAGCACGAGGTACAGAAACCTCAGGCACTGACAACCTCAGGCTGTGACGCCTGCTCGCTGTCTCCAAACCCAACACCTGGACGACGTGCTACACTGCTGCCAGGCCCACAGCCCCTGACCACACAGGTCCTGAGGACACAGTATGGGGAGTAAAGGGACGGGGCCCAAGTACACAAGGTCATGAAACAGAATCCATGGTGTTGTTTGAGCTCTAATTGGCTGATATTTGAGAACAGCACAAAGCAAAGCCTTCTGTCATGCTTCATCAAAGTAGTAAGTTTAGATTTATTCTCTAGCTCAAGACGTCTCATAAAAATAGGCAGCAGGCATTCCAGCCCTGTGGACTCCTCCAGCCCTTATCACCTCCTGAAAAGAGGCCATTTGTCCCTGCCTCCAACCCACTGCTGGACACAGTGTGGCAGAGCAACTCTGCGTGACCTGGAGATTCGCTGAGACAACACACCACGAGGACACGTGCAAGGACAGCAGGGAACATGGTGGCTCGGGACTCAGCACCACCACCAGGCCAAACTGTAGATGTGTGGGCAGAATAGACGTCACCACTGCTGCTCAGGTGCTACATTTTGGGGTGGCTAGTTACACAGAGCTAGACGATGGGACGACTCCTTCTGGAAGTCAGTGTTTAAGCTCTTCAAAATCTGAGCATATACAAACACATACACACGTAGGATAATACTGGTCAGCACTGTGACTGGCATTTTGTTCTTGTGACTCGATAAAATTACTCTCAAGTTCGTAATGGAGAATACATAGAGCCTTGTGCATTATGGATTACAAACAGGCATGTCGCAAAGTCATATACATGCGTATGGACATCCTTATGCTTGCATTCCAAAATATGGGTGTTTTTATTCTTTGAGATAGATTCATTTATTCCACAAAGATACAAGCCCAATGTGAAACGATCACACGAGAAAGCAGTACATTTTTAATTTTTACAGGTACCAAGAAATAATTTTCTAAAAAAGTTACAGCAATATACATGCCCATAAGCAATGCACGAAAGTGCTATTTCCTCACATCCTTTTCAGCCCTGGGTGCTAAAAATGTTTTTTTAGAATTTTGCCAATCTCGTAGGAGGAAAATGGTTTGCTTTAATTTGCACTTCCACACCTGTTAGTGGGGTGAACGTAATTTAATGTTTACTGCCCATCCACAATTCCTCTTCCTTGAATTTCTATTCATTTCATCCAGCTAACAAGTTCTCGAAGAAAACCTGCAGGAGGCCCTGCTCTGCTGGGGACACGACCCTGGCCTGTGCACACACCTGAGAGCAGGGGCCCTGAGAGCAGCTGGTGGCAGCTCAGCCATTCTGAAATATTTTCATTTCTAGGGAACCAAACATACCCACTTTCTTTTCCTTTCTAACTTCCAGGTCTCCTATCTTATAAACACCATTCAGAAGTCACTCAAATATTCTCCTGAATGTTATAGTATTTTATAATCACAAACATACTGAGAGCTTTTATCCTTCTCAAGTTCCTGTTGGCTGATGGTGGAGAGGAAGAACCCAGCCCCGTACAGGGCCGGTCCCCACTGTAAGGTGCGGCCTCCTCCCCGCGCTCCCTGCGGCACTTCCAGACCGCCCACCCTTCCGCTCACTGGTTCTTCTGCCCCGAACACCCAACACCCTCTTGCAATGACTGTACGTGCACACAGTCCGTTTACCACCCTGAAGGCAGGTCCTTTCTCACTAGGGTTCTTTTTCAACGATGTATTACCTACTCTCAGAACTTTTCTCCTTCAAATGGGTTATTATTTCCAATCCCAGGTTTGGAAATTTTAAAAATCAGCCAGCGGTATTCAGACTGGACTACATAACGTTCACAGATTAATTTGCAAACTGACATTTTAGGATACTAACTTTTTCTATTTAGGAAATTGGTATCTTTCTTCATATTTTAGGGTCTTGGCTATTTCTTTCAAATGGATTTTACGATCCTAATATAGGTTCTGTGGCTTTCTTGCTAAATGTATTAATAAGCATTTGACAGTTTATTGCCATTACAAATGTACATTTTTTCATTAAAATATTGCCAGATAAAAGCTATTGATCCTTGCACATCTGTCTTCTATCAGACCAAGAACTCTTACTAAGTCTAACGGGTAAGTAAGCAGTCACCCGTGTTTCCAAGGAACGAAACAATACCATCTCTAAGTGCAGATGACTGTCTCCAATATTCATCCTGCCTGTTCTCCTGTCACACTGCAGTGGCAGTGGCCACCAGAGCAGAGTGGCATCAGAACGGGCATGGCAAGTAACGCTTTCTCACCCTGCCTGGGCTGGGGATGCTACGGTTGTGTCACCTAGTCTGACAGTTGCTGGTGACGTTTGTCACATGGGCTTAAAGACACTTTTAACGGTTCCCTTCAATTCCAGTTTTACTCAGAGTCTGCTTTTCTTTTGTTTTGGATTAATGCAAGTCAGTACATAATGAGCCTCCTGGACCTCTTTTTATTGTTGATTTATTTTAAAATATGTCATGCTGACATAGACAGTATAAAGGATGTGTTCAGTTTACAAATTATCACACAGAAGAAAACCGACGTGAAAACTGCCCTGGGAAGGAAATAAACACTCGAGCGCCTTCGGAGCCCCTGCACAACCACCTCACACCACGATGACATGGGGGGCTGACTTCAGTGCAAACCACTCCCTTGTCTTTACCAACTACACAAGAGTTCCTCAACAGCGCGGTCTGGCGTGTTTTTTCAAGTTATACTGCCTGTATCCCTTCGTGATTGTTTCCTTCACTCCCCATCGTGTTTATGAGATTCATCCTTGCTGCTGCGTGTCGGTCTTCAAGCTTTCCACTGGGTGGACTCTGCCAACGGACATGTGAGTTCTTGGCACTTCAGGGATGTAAGAAACATTCTTGTGCACAGAGAGAGGACAAGGTGCAAATGTCTGTCCAAAGCACGTGTGCACCCAAAGGACAGCTGCTGTCACCTCTGCCCCTCGTCAGCTATACCAGCTGTCCACACCCCACTGTTTAAATCCCCTCCAACAACCCAAGGTAGGTTATGGCTCTAATCCACATTTCTCTGATTACTGCTGAGGTTAAACATTTTTTTGTCTGCTTGTTGGCTAGTAGGGTTTCTGCTTACAACATAGTGATTCAAGTCTTCAGCCCCATTTTTCTAGTGGGCTTTTTTTTTAATCGTGTTGGGGGTCTTTCTTGCTATTTAAGCTTAATTAATTACAATTAAATTAAAAATTCAGTCTCTCGGTTACACTAGCCATATTTCAAGTGCTCAACAGCCATACATGGCTAATGGTTACAGAACATTGCCATTATCACAAAAAGTTAATAAATAGGAAATATACCAATGTTAAACTCTAAAATCAATTTTTAAGTCAAGTTTGGTGAGAAAAATGACGGTTAGAAAACAGTTGAGTGTGTTGACTTTACCTTGAATAAGCGGGATATAGCGTGCAAGCAGTTTTGCCCGTTTCTTTTCATACCCTTTTTGAGTGATGTCACCTAAAACGACAGTGGAAAAAGACAATTACATCTCCTCCAGAGTTCCAAAATTTTTGGATTAAAAATTAATTCATAATGGAGAACCTTGAAACACTAATGCATTGTATGATGCGTCCATACAATGGAATACTAGCAGTAAAAAGGAACAAACCATTGACATATACAACAATCTGGATAGAGTTCACATGAACATTGGAAAGAAGCCAGGCTCAAAGGGCTACATGCTGAATTATTCCATTTGTATGACAGTCTGGAAAAGATAAAACTATAGGGACAGAGAAGACAGTGGCTGCCAGGACATGGGCATGAGAAAACGGCTGAGTACAGTGGGGAACAAGGGAATCTGGGGGTTCATGACACTGCTCTGTTGCGATGGTGATGGCGGCCCATGACAGCACATGCTGGTCAAAACCTGCTAGAACTGCACACCGGAAGAGAGACTTTTATTGTAGGTCAATAATACTTTAATGTTTAAAAACTGCATTTGGTATTCCCTAAGAGCCTGTCAGAAATGCAGACTTTAAAAAAATTTAATAAAAAATGTAAAAATAAAAATTTTTACAGTTTAAAAAAAAAAAAAGAGAAAGAAAGAAAAGTAGCCTCCTGGGCCACACTATCGAACATGAGTCCGCATTTTACCAAGATCCCGAAGCGGCTCCTGTGCAGGTTCGTGCTGTGGAAGAGCTGGTCTCAGGCCAAAGCACACCTCTGAGCAACGACTCAGGCACAGGTGTGGCTGTTCTGACAAATCACCAAAAGAAGAACAACCTAAAAATGAATTAAACCACCAGGAACAAGACAGGAAGTGTGTCTTCATGGAAACCCTTCTCGATCTATGTGCACGTTCGGTTTCCTAGAGAGAACTTGGCATGCCCAAAGTGAATGTGTCACGCTTTAGAGATTTTATTTAGACCAGAAACGTACATTACAATTTCCACTGGTATCTTGTTTGGACAGACTTTCTTCAATGGAAAGTTTTAATGTTTTGTAACCGCTCCTCACTCTCCCAGCCCCTGTCCCGATCAGACAAGCATGGGGGCAGGCTGCGGAAATCAGGAGACATGAGTGGCTATCATTGAGGGATGCTTTACCAAGTATTTTCTGTATATGAACTCTTCAGAGAGAGAGTCAGGGAGGGGCAGAGAGGAGGAGAAAGGATCCGAAGCAGGCTCTGCATGGACAGCAGAGAGCCCGGACGCTTGACCGACTGAGCCACCAGGCTATACGAACTCTTGACCGCAGAATTTGTTGTGTCAAAACACCCAACAACACTGAATGTGTCACATCTAAGTTAAGACTCACTGAGAGTCTCGGCATTAATACACCATCCTACAGAAGACGATTCTGGGGTCAGGGAAGCACCAGGCCAGGTTACCTCAAGTTCCCAGCGGGTCGGGCACTGCTTTAACCACAGCTCATTCAGTCCAGTCCTCCCCGGCGAGCCCGTCTTATCTCTTCTGCGCTTTATTTATCCCTCTGTCCCCACCTTATTCCCCCCGCCACCCCTACAGAAAACTAGCCTTAATTTGAATTTGTTCTGCAGAATGTATACTAGTTTGTGTCCTTGTATTTTTACTTTACCTAAATGGCATTATATTGCAAATCTCACTCTGCCTATTTTTTCCCCTGCTAAGCACTCCATTTTTAACATGAGTCAATCCATGATGCAGTGAGCATGCCTAATCCCCTGTGAATTGCCATGGCCCATGGGGGTGCACTGTCCTTGTCCTACCCACTCACTGGACACTCACAGACCCCAATCTGCGCCAGGATATGATTGTGCAATTCAGCTTATTAATTTTTAATTTATGCACAACTTTAAAGTGCATGTATTTTTTATAGAAGTATCTACTAAAAAATGTTTCCTCTGAAATATATGAAAATATGTAATTAAGACAAACTTAAATGAAAACTAAATACTGTTACACTAAACTAAAACTGATAAATCCCTATTTAAAAGCAGAGCATTTGATTTTCCAGGATATTTAAAAATTAAGTATTCATTTCCTAGAAAGGGCTCCTTCTTAGGTCCCCATTTCAAAGGAACATTTACACGGTAAAGGTGTCAAAGAGCATTCAGAAATTAAACGTTAACTCCCTGCTTCATGCCTGTGATATTACAAAAGCAGTCTCGTGTTTTTTAGTGAACCAGTTGAACACAACCAGCTACACATTTTCATGTGTAACCAGTTACCATACTTCACCCATCCAACTTAGACACTAACCCAACACGCCACTGAATGCAACACTTCTACCCACACAAAGAGCAAGGTAGAATTCCAAAACAGAATGCAGATACAAAACTAATAAGCTAATAAAAAAGAGACTCAAATAGAAGTTTTCGGAACCCAAGTTCAGTAAACACTAAAGAGACAAACAGCAGAGCCAAACTCCCCACCTAGCTGCACAAAACTGGGGTAACACTGACCCAACAGCTGAAGGCAATCTCAGTCAGACTAATGCTCGCCCCTGGCTGAGCACCCCAGCACCTGGGGGACTTGGGGAAAATGCCAGGACCCATCCTTCTCTCGTGGTCTGTGGGCTGGTAGCTGTTCTTACCAGCCCTCCAGGAAGGGGTATGATACTGAGCCAGAGCTCAGGTTGACCTCCATTGCTGCAAGCCAAAGTCACTTAAGATTACAAATGCAAAATCTCAAATGATACCTTCAAGTCCCAACCACAGTTTTTTGGGTTTTTTTTTAGTGTTTATTTATTTATTTTGAGAGAAAGAGAGAGAGACAGAGAGAGAGAGAGAGAGAGAGAGAGAGAGAGAGAGAGAGAGAGAGAGAGACCGAGCAGGGAGAGAGGGAGACAGAGAATCCCAAGTAGGCTCCACACTGTCAGCACAGAGCCCAATGTGGGGCTTGAGCCCACAAACTGTGAGATCAGGACCCGAGCCGAAATCAAGAGTTGGATGCTTAACTGACTGAGCCACCCAGACACTTCTCCAACCACACTCTCTAAAAGCCTATTCTCAAAATCATTCAACAATTCCTTAAGGTCACAGCAACAAGGATAGGCAATGCACATTACATATAACAGCAAATAATGGGAGACAACTTAATCTTTCATCAAAAGGAAAGAAGAAAGAAAGAAAGAAAGAAAGAAAGAAAGAAAGAAAGAAAGAAAGAAAGAAAGAAAGAAAGAAAGAAAAGAAAAGAAAGAATTAAATATACTGCCATAAATCATCACTGCAGAATACTGTTGGTCCTAAAAAAAAAATGCCTTGGTATTTGGAAGGTAAGGGATGGGTATCACTTAACATAGATTCATGATATCCTATTAAGTAAAAGCAGCAAGTTGAAAAACTATACACATAAAGAATGATCTAATTCTGGGAATTAAAACTATGCATAACTAAAACTATGCATGTGTCCAGGTGTGTACATTTTCCTCCAGGAAATATCTGGAGGGATGCCCAATTATTAATAGTGATTCATTTATTTAGCTTGGGGTGGGTGTGAGGAATATTTTGTTTTTTACTTCATATACTTTTGAACTCTTTACATTTTTTAGCACAATAGTTATAATTAAGAATATATGGAAAATAGTTTGATAATGTACTATGGTTATATAAGATGTTATTGCAGGAAACTGAATGAATTCTATGTACTATTTCCGTAACTTGTGAGACTAAAATTATCTCAAAATAAAAAGTTAAAAATACATGGGAGAGACTATATAAAATTGGTCTTATTTCTTTTTCAAGTGACAAAATTTCTCAGTGAAACCATCTGGGCATGCAGATTTACTTTCCAGAAGGTTGTTTCCCCCCCCCACCCCCTTCTTTTATTTTGCTTAATTAAAGCTTTATATATTCCTTAAAGCAGTTTCAAGTTCACAGCAAAATTGGGGGCAAGATAGAGTTCCTATCTAGAGTATCCTATCCTAGACCCCCTGCCCTGACACATGCACCCCTCCCCACATTCTGAACATCTTCCATCAGGGTAGTACATGGTTTCAACTGATGAACTATATGGATACGTAATAGTCACCCAAAGTCCACAGTTTAGTTATGGTTCACTCTTGGTGTACGTTCTGTGGGTTTGGACAAATGTATAATAATATATATCCATCATTATGATGTCCTAGAGTATTTTCACTGCTCTAAAAATCCTCTGTGCTCTGCTATTCGTCCCTTCCCCCACCCCTCAGCCCCAGGCAACCACTGATCCTTCTACTGTCTCCACAGTTTTCGGGAATGTCATATAGTTTTAATCATACAGTAACCTTTCATATTGACTTCATTTAGTAATATGCATTTAAGTTTCTTCCATGTCTTTTCTTGGCTTGACAGCTCATTTCTTTTGTTGAATAATATCCCATTGGGTGGATGAACCAGTTTATTTACCTGTTTACCTACTGAAGGGCATCCTGGTTGCTTCCAAATTTTGGAAATTATGAATAAACCTTCTGCAAACAACTGTGTGCAGGTTTTTGTATGGACATGTTTTCATTTCCTTTGGGTGAATACCAAAGAATGCGATTACTGGGTCGTATGGTAAGAGCATGTTTAGTCTTGTAAGAAACCACCAAACTGTCTTCCAAGGTGGTTGCATCGCTCTGTTTTCCCACCAGCAGTGAATGAGCATTCCTGTTGCTCCTCAGAGCCTGTGTTGTGTTGCTCCACATCTTTGCGATTAGTGTTGTCAGTATTCTAAATTGTGGCCATTCTCATAGGTAGGTAGTGGTAGCTCATTATTGTTTGAATTGGCACTTCCCAGATGACATATGAATGTGGAGCATCTTTTCATATGCTTATTTCCCATCTCTATGTCTTCTCTGGTGAGGGGTCTGTTAAGGTCTTTGGACCATTTTTCAATCAGATTGTTTGTTTCCTTACTGTTGAGTTTGAAGAATTCTTTGTATGTTTTGGGTAATAGTCCTTTATCAGATGTGTTTTTTGTAAACAATGGCCTGTCTTCCCTTCTTAACCCCGGCTTTTGCAGAGCAGTTTTTAATTTTAACAGAGTGTATCTTTTCAATTATTTACTTCATGG